CAACAAGTAAGCATGGGGCATACATGCAAGAGCGCTTGATCACAAACATATCCAGAGAACACAGCAAACAAAGTCTGATTCTGAATCTTTACCAAAAACATCAACGGGACGACGGGCTGGATTTTCTCAGAAAAGTCCAGAGTTCTTGCACAGCACAAAACAAAAACGATGCTGCAAAGGTAACGGCTCCCCAAACAAAATACGCAAAGATAAAGAAAACAGAATGTTCGGTGGTATTCCCTGCTATTTTCTTGCACGCGGGTTTTCATCTGCTCTCAGGCTCTTCTTTTTCTTATTGTGAAAGAAGTGGCATATGATAGGGCAGTTCTTTATGCGTTTTCTTTCTTTTGTGCTTTTTTCTTTTTCTGTTTTTGCGGGTGAAGCCGCAACGGGTCATCTAGTGGTGATAAGTAGGCTTCACACTGTTAACAGTGAATTTGAGTGAAAGGTAACTGTTTGTTTTTGCCTTTCTTCTCTTCCTTTTGGTCTCGAAGCTGCATATGACATAGCATGGCTGAGATAGCCATGCTATGTCACACATGAACTCCTATGCCAGCAATACTATGTAAGGGATAGCCACACTATGTTACACATGAACTCCTATGTCAGCAGTACTATGTAAGAGATAGCCATGCTATGTCACCCATGAACTCCTATGACAGCAGTACTATCTAAGAGATAGCCATGCTATGTCACACATGAACTCCTATGCCAGCAATACTATGTAAGAGATAGCCACGCTATGTCACACATGAACTCCTATACCAGCAATACTATGTAAGAGATAGCCATGCTATGTCACACATGAACTCCTACGCCAGCAATACTATGTAAGAGATAGCCATGCTATGTCACACATGAACTCTTATGCCAGCAATACTATGTAATGGCATACAATGACTTTGTCAGCCACGCATATGACACTTCCCAGGACATGCTGCATGAAACATAGAGTGCTGGATGGGACACGTGATTGCATGCAGTATGTCACATAGCATGACATGCATCCTGTTGTCTGGGAACCTCATAGCCCAGATTTGTGCACACGATACATACTACGTACCTTCAGCACGACGTCACTTTTACTTTTTTAAGAAGGTGAGACGGTCTTGAGATATCATCATTGATGACCAGTCCCAGCCTCCCAGGTAATTTAGGATTATTTTTTGTTCTGTTCGTCTGTTTGCATCTGGATTCGAACTTGGGTCGGTATTTCAACAGCTCATGGGTGTACCAACTGAGCTAAGTCCATTGGTTCAACACAACATTACTAAAAACAGAGGACTATGAAGTTACCAACTGTACTGAAAACGTAGCGCACACATGTACACCCAAGTCTCTGCGGCGCAATCCACACCGGAATAAACTGGAGGCATATGGAATGCACAAACGCACAAAAATACGTTTTTTGCAGATAACATGTATAAAGTACTATTAAGTTTAAACTGAGTATACTGTGCATATATATGCTGAACAGCATTAACACAAGTTAAGAGGTAAATACTAAATACTAAATTGACAGAGGTGCTCATCTACGGGGGACAAATCGCCTCATATTTGTTTTTTTGTATCTTACTATCTTCACATCTACCAAATATCACTATCAATTTCTCAAGTTGAGCCAATATGCTTTCCCCTTTCCAATCCATAGAACCTTCCTCATGCCTTCCTTCCCCTTTCTGGTGCAAGCAAAGCTGTGGCAGGCAAACCAACTATATATTCAGAGAATCTAGCTGACTGCTAACATAAAGGTTTCAGCTGATGCAGTTGATGCACTGATGCACCCATCACTTTGCAATGACTCATGAATGGTATGGTAGACAGAGTAGGTGTGATAAGGTGCTCTACTATTGGCTCCTAGCGTCTTCTGGCGAATCGAAACGATGGTCATTACTGCTGTATCTAGACTGAAGGTTACATCAAATAAGCTATAACCCTATAGAGTAGTATAAACACTATAAGTTCTTTTTTTTTTCCCCTTTTAATGTCGCCTGATGGACCACAGACCAGATATTGAACTGATCAGAACAGTTACTAACTTACTACACTTTTAAATCTTTTTTTTTTTTTTTTTGGCCCATTTCTCGATTTATGTGCGTCGTCCCTGCACTGGGGCAATGCGAATCTTCTCTGTATCATTCCAATTTTAACGGATGTTCGAGAAAGGTATTATAATGACTGTACGACGTGTACATTCTATCCAGGGGAAGACGGTCGTAACTTACCTATTCTGTTCTTGCATGTCAGCTTGAAGGCCATGCTTGGGTCTCTGTAGTGCAATTTGGATGGGGATTTTCATAAGCTTGGAGTTGGCTGTTCATGTCCATTATGCAGGTTGCACTGAAGGGAGGAATCGCCTCGTCTGTTTGGGCATCCCAAGTAGGGCCACGTGCTGCGGCTGTGGTATCCCTAGTCCAAAGACTGAAGCGGGGTCCAACGGATGAGGAATGTGCACAGGCCAGAGGGGTGGTGGGCAGTTCTGCAGGTCAGTATTTGTGGAGTGCTGTGCGGGAAGGCCTCATGAATGCCATCATTACTGCTTGCCAATTAGTTACGTTCGAAGTTTCTGATCACTCATGACTATACGATCTGTCGTCTCCCGCTATGTCTTGAATTCGTTCTCCTCACTCGCGTCCTTGGGATGAAGATTGCCTAATACTACTTCGAATTGTTGCCGAGCATGATGCGCGAGCTGTGGACACAGGAGTTGTGTGTTTTGTCATTCTGTCGACACAGGAGTTGTGTGTTTTGTCATTCTGTCCCCTCTGGGCACTCGTGCTTGTTCTATTGAATCTATTCTCAGACCAAAATCCAAAACAGTAGGACACACACTCACATCATCAAAAACTCTTCGAGTCTGCTGACAAGAGTTTTGTCTCGCAGCTCTGCCAATAACATACCAACGGAAAATAGTCACAGAGTGACCAGCAACAGCAGAAATGCACAGCTTGCCTGAGGCTATGGACCTCTCATTTGACAGCGAATACTACTACCCAAAGTGCGCAATCCCCTCTCTATGTGCTACTGCAACGGGTACAGCCTGTGGGAATTACATCCGCAGTATGAGAACTTCGGGGTCTGCTCACAAGAGTCCTGTCCTACAGCGTCGATAACACCATTCACACCAAAATCAAGCTAGCCTTGCAATCCAGCCAAACAGAAGCCTAGTCACCTTCGGGCAGGCGACAATGTGCATGTGCATGTGCATGTGTGTGCGTGTGTGTGTGTGTGTGTGTGTGTGTGTGTGTGTGCGTGTGCGTGTGTATGAACAGCGCTCACAGCGCATTGCACACACAGCGGGATCACAGCAATGCAGAGCACATGTTCATCCTTCAAAAGGCAACATCGATCAACCAGATGCAAGGAAGCAGATTGCAACAGCAAAAAACGTTCACAAGTTATTTTTTCAGGCAATAACACAATTTAAATGCAAAATTGATTACGAAAGACAAGAAACAAGGAACCAATCAAACGAAGGAAGAGGGCATGATTCCTGCTTCCTTGATGGGTGGGACAGATCCCCGAAGTGCTTTTCATTGCTTTCGCCAGAGCAAGCTGATCAGAGATTTTCAGGCAATCTGCTTTTCGGAGAGTGGTCTGATCGATAATGAAGAGAGTAAAAAGCAGAGCAAATCGTGGCGTATTTTTATACAGCAGCGTATGGGACGAAGAGGGGGGAGATGGAATACAACGTATGAGCTTTTTGTCCAAGTGGAAGGCAAACAAACCTCGTTAGCCAACACATGGTGGAGTAGCGAAGGACAGATGCACACACCAGGAAGTAGCATGACACATAGACTGGCGATGCTCATGAGCATTGGGGTCTCGTATTTGTTAGTTAAACGGAACTTAAACCACCAGTACTTTTTCTTTTTTTCTTTTTTGGACCATTTCTCGATTTATGTGTGTCATCCTTGCGCAGGGCCCATGCTAATCTTCTCTGTATCATTCCAATTTTAATGGACGTCCCGAAGGACAAAAACCACCAGTACTTCCAGGGCACTTCTCTCCAATGCTGGGAACGCCCTGCACACCAAGCTTTGTGGAACCGCCAACATGACTTCTTTTTTTTTTTTTTTCGTTTCCCTGGCACTGCGAGCTATTGTGGTCCGGTAGGCCCGAAGCCTGCTTAAAGCGGTGCGTATACGACAAGGGCCCCGCCCGGTGTATAGGCCAAGTACTGGTGGTTTAGGGTTGAGTACTTGTCCTTTGGCATGTGTTCACTTTGTTGCATGTGCTTGTGGAGGTTGATCATTGATTGCCGGCCGCTGAGCGAATAGAGACCATCAGGAGTCAGGACCACCTCTCATTCAGCAGCCAACCGTTACGACCACATGCACTTTGACCGTTGCTACTTTTTTGTTCAACCAGTGGCATTCATGATCATTGAATTATCCCCGTCGTTTTCACTTTCTGGAGGCGGCATGAGATACGGTTTCCCTTCCAAGCCCTGACCAGTTGCATTTGATGCCGTCTCCTATACGGGCATCTTTTTTTTGAATTTTCCTTCTTTTTTTTTGTAAGAAAGTTGCAGTTTTATTTTATATAAAAAGTTAAAAACACTGAGGCCGGGAATTCCTCAACATCTCAACCCGGAGAGTGCTGGGGCCATTACCCAGATTGGGCTTGAGCTGGAAACCGGGTCCAGCGTCCCCTTGTCTGCAACTTCAAACAAAACGGAAACTGGACAAATAAGATGAACCAGAATAGGGGAAGAAATTAAACTGCTGCCTCGAAAGAAAAAAAAGGAAAAAAAAAGGGTCGTATCCTTCTCATACCATGTCCTCCCTACCTGCGTTTTTCAAGTCCTTCCCTCTTTGATTTACCCCATTCTGTATTTTGGTAACATGCAATTTGACTTGATCTCCTGAATATACCGTTGCCGTGATGATGTCTGTCTACCTTATTAATGAGTCATACAGGAAGAGTTGGGGTATCGGTTGTGCTCTTCATTAAATCTATGTCTAGTTCTCTGCTATGAATGGTTTAGAGAATGAATAGATGTGTCGTCTCCCTGCCACTCTCTTGGTGCATGCGCTCAACTTATGTTGTTGGATCGATCGTGTGGATCATTGTCTCTGCTGCAGAAGCTGTGGCAGAAGTGGTGTCAGCATACGAACAGCTTTCAGTCCTTCTGTATGACTGTGTCCTGCTAGCAGAAGGCACACCTTCAGTTGGAGGTGCAGATATGGATGCCCATGACCAGTTCCTCGCTGCAAAGGACAGCACATGCAGGTACTTAATGTTTCTTCTTTCTCTTGAGAAGAGGAGCGACCTTTGTCTTTGTTGAAAAAACATTGAAACTTCAAAGTTTATCGTGTTTTACTGTCCTACGGAATTTGGGTAAAATCAACCCTGGTGTCCTAGGACCAAGATGTATCTTTCCTCCGGAGTAGTTTGGACTTACGTCTCAGGTCTCGGACCTCTTCCCCGAGAAAAGGTTAACAACGCATGTTTTTCACAGTATGCTTTATGATTTTCAGGATGCATAAACGGAGGAAGGGATGGGTGGTTTCAGGCCCTTCACGGCATTCACCACTTCGGCTTGCTTCATGATCTTCAGGATGCATAAACTAGGGGAGGGCTACCATTGGTATTTGTGTTTTAAATTTTAAATGAGAATCATGGCAAAAGGAAAGCACAAAGCAGGGCAAAGTAGATGGTTAGGAAGACGACCCGTTGTTCGTGGTGGTGTTGCTATGAAATTATGAATCCTGCAGACTACCCTGATGGAGGAGGAGAAGGACGTACAAAAGGAGGTCGAAAGTCCGTTTGTCCTTGGAGAAAACCGGGGGGTTGTTTCAGGCCCTTTAATGGGGTTTAACACTCATCTCGGTTCATGATTTCATGCAAGATGCGTAAACAGGGGGGAGGGGGAGGTGCTTTCAGGGCCTTGAGGGGGCATTCACCACTTCAACTTGCTTCATAAAGCAAGCTGAAGTCGTGAACACCCCAAAGCGCCCGAAAGGCCTGGTTTTAACACGAAGGAAACACCCGTCACGATTCAGTACACCTTTTCATGCGGCAGCGATTTGAACTTACCCCGAATTTGTGATCGTGATTGGAGTACACTTTTTCATGATGTAAAGATGTGAACACACCCAAAATTGAAAATTGAAAATTCAGGATAAAGTTCCGATGAACAAATCAACTCTCTTTTCCCACTTCGCGATTATGATTCACGAATTTTCAGGGTGTGGTTAACTGCTTGAGGACAAGAAGAGGAAAGACAGCATCAGGAATGTAAGGTAGAGGGAAAGTTGCAGTGGCAAGCTGAAGAGGTGGAGCACCAGATTCGTGTGGATCCGTAGTAGGCATTGTTCCAAGGATAATATCACATGGATCTGCAGGTTGAGGCCCGGCATAGCTGAGCTGCAGGCCCTCAATGGGACATCACCAGCTGTCTGTTGGCCCTCGGTACCCAGCTGACCAAAGTTGGCATTTTCCAGCAGGAGGAGCTTTATGAATTGTAGTGCGACCGCGCTCATGCACGTCACAGATGAGCTGGTACGGACCAAGGATGAACTGGTCGCGGACCGGGTCGCTGTCAAGAACTGCATTGCCAGCGTGGAGTAACAACTGCAGCTGCAGTTTGTACAGTCTACTTCCTCTGATGCTCTTGCATCATTGGCACAACACATTGATGCGATTGTCATGCGGTTTGGCAGTCTGCAGCGGTTCACTGCGTAGCAGCAGCAGATCGCTTCCATGTAGCAACATTAACAGTCTGGTTTCCAGAACCGCGGGCAATGGAAGATGCCCTAACTGGACTCTGTTTATGGAAGCAACAAGACTGATCCAGTTGCATTGTGCCACTCCTTCACAATCAAATTAGAAATCACCAGAGTACCTGATGAACACAAGATCAATGGGTGTTGTACCTCAAGTCCACCGCTTCCTGCCAGACTTGCTTAGACCATCTACTGGAGCAATATCAAATTATGCCGGCACTGCTGCGCATGAAGATCTCATGGTCGGATCTGCAAGCGCAAGTGGAAGCAGCGATTCCACATAGAGGAGCTTCCGAAGGTTGCCAGCCATAAGATCTTTAGTCTCCGGCACGGTAACATGCTCAGCAGGGACTGGATGAGGGAATGGCAGCGCACTTGGCAGCCACTCTCAATGTGGATCAGCCTTTCAAGATTATAAACTTATAAAGGCTAACACGTCAGTGACCGTTCATGCATAACACTGCAGCAGCAGTTAAACCACTGTCAGGAGAAGTTAGTGGACTTGAAGTTGTTGTGGGGTAAGGCCCATGGCATCTGCAAGCAAGATACCTTGGCATACAGCAAACGTCCACGGCAGCCAGCACAACACTTTAGTGAGAAGGCAAGTCTTGGAGTACTGAGCGTCTTGTGGAAGTGGCTCTCAGGCTTCTGAGCCTGATCTTCCAATGGATGACCAGGTTGTCACAGCACCATCTAAGTGAAGACTATGTGGCAGCAGTCAAGGGGGGGAGGGGTTTTCAGCCCAGAGCAAACGGCAAGGCGCGGGGACCCAAGACTCAGGGCCCTTGTGTTGAACCACCAGTATGTTTCCCAGCCATTGTTTAAGAAACGAGGCGTGCATGGTTCCGCGTCGGACCTACCTGCCAGATGTGAGGTGGTACCTCAATAATGATGCGGCGTACTGGGTCTAACCAAACTTACAAGGAGCAAATGCATTGGGGCAGGTGTTTGCGGCGTAACAATGACATTTACACCACGGGTAATTATTGCGACAAGGCCACCATTCAGCTGTGTCCGGAAAAGCAGCACCAACAACCCCAGGCCTAGCAGGGAGACTAAGTACCTCAGGGATGATGCAACTGCATCCTCCTCTCTGCCACACGCTGTGAAACTCCGAATGTTGCCAATCCTCTTCTTCATCTTGAAGATTTGTTCGGTTTGGTTGGCCCTCCCGTTGGGACAGCCTCTGTCCTTGCACAGGGAAACTTGTGGTATCTAGTATGATGACTCAGCCTGTATCAATGCCATCCACTTCTTCAGACGTTGCTTCCTGGTCTAAGTCAGGGGACTTAGGCATGCTGCTGGAGCCAAGGAATTCTGATTCATTACCCCTTTCCCCCATGGGCCAACTGTTGAGGCTACACTGTGTCATATTGCAGGCAGTTTTGCAGGAGTACCTCAGCGCTGCCTCAACGCCCCGACTGTTTGATGTCGGGGTTGAGGTGAGCCACCTGCGGGTGTGTCTGTGAAGGTTGAGAGGAAGTTCTGCATACAGCGGAATGAGAGCGTTGATGCACCGATGTTGTATGTCTGCACTCATATTGGGCAAGCAGCCTGCAACACTTTGATTGATTGCGGAGGGATGCGGAGTTTACTGTCAGTTCTTTGTTGACAAGGCTGGCTTGTGGCCTCAAGTTCGTTGGAAGACATGCCCTTGGAAGGTGCCTCGGCGAGTGGCGAAATGTGGTAGCAGATAGAACCGCTGCCTTGACTTTGTGCACGTCTACCTTGCCCTGCGTGCACGGGAGGCAGTCAGCTTCGATATTTTGGACATCTGCTTCAACGTTATCTTCGTCATGCCTTGGCTTCAGAGTGAGGGACATTGTCATGGTTTGCAATGCATTCGGCAAGTCTGTTTTATGCAGTGTGCCTCCCCCTCAGCCCCCAGTGTCTTACCACGTTATATCCTCTACGGCCTCTTGTACGACATGACCCCTGTAGCACCCCATTGCGATCGGCGTATGTTTCTCCACGTAGTGTTTCCGCACCAGACTTTTCGAGGTGGGAAGCTTTTTTTTTTTTTTTTTTTTTTTGGACCATTTCTCGATTTATGCGTGTCATCCTTGCGCAGGGGCCATGCTAATATTCTCTGTATCGTTCCAATTTTAACGGATGTCCTGAAGGACCGAGGTCGGAAGCATGTGCAAAATATTAGAATTATTTTTGGATGTGTTCCAGTCCCCTTTGGAGTTGTGAAGGACCGCCCCCTTATGGCCGAGATCCTTCTTCATGATGGGGCCACTCCACCGAAGCAATGCATTTACCATACGAGTGCTGAGGAGCTCGGGATTCTCCAAGTTCAACTCGGCGATTTGCTTGGCGACGAGGATCACTCCTAGCAGTTCTCCTTACAGAGCACCTGTTCCTTTCGTTCGGAAGAAGAACTAGGACCTGCAGCTCTGCATCACCCACCACAAGCTCAATGCTCAGATGGCAAAGTATGCAAGCCACCTTCCATGCATTGATGATCTTCTTGAGTGGTCGGGGCGCGCCTGTTACTTTTACGAGTTGGACCTGAAGTAGGGCTACCACCAGATTCAGATTTACCTGTATACCCAGTACAAGTCTGCATTCAGGACACAGCATGGGCGTTTGGTGTGGGCTGTCATGCCTTTCGAACTCACGAGTGCCGCAACAGTGTTCAAGGCTGTAATGACACACGAGTATTGCACCATGGTAGATCACTTGTTCTTTTTTTTTTTTTTTTTAAGCTGTCTTCTACTCGTCGGGGGACAGATCGTTGGGACACGGGACACTGGAAATTACTATCGCACAGACCACGGAGCACTCATCAGGATATTACCCACAAGCTCTACTCTGTGTGGGGAGTAGTACCCAGGCCCCTAACCGCTACCGTTTTCACCCGAATAGAACGCCCGGTCATTATAGCTGCATTTGGCCCAACTTTCAGTCCAGATGCAGCGATAATGATTAGGCGTTCTATTCGGGTGAAGACGCCAATGAGGGATGGCAAGACTCGTATTCCTGCCAAGACCAACCAGGAGGGGCAAGCCAACTGTCGCAGCTGGTGAACCTAAAGTGAGCCGCACGGGGCCGCAGGGGATCGAAAGGATGACGTGGGGAATTGAACCCACGACCTTCTGAAGGCCACTTGTGTGCTCTACCAACTGAGCTAGGCCGCTGGCCCTGGTAGATCACTTGTTTTCATCGACCATGATGATATTTTGGTCCACAGTCAGGTGTTGGAGGAGCACTTGGACACCTACATGTAGTGTTGGAGCGACTTCACTACCGTCTTCACCCGAATAGAACGCCCGGTCATTATCGCTGCATCTGGACGGAAAGTTGTGCCAAATACAGCTATAATGACGGGGCGTTCTATTCGGGTGAAGACGGAGCGAGTACAAAGCGAACCACGACAAGGGTTAGTTTTTGCAAGAGGTTGCGTACTTGCCACTTGGGCCATTTTGTCACCGCTTAGGGTATTCGTGCTCTCGGCAATAGAACTCGGGATGTTTCCCTCATCTCCGTCTCCATCCTGCATTTCACGCCTCGAAGCTGGCTTCTATCTTGATGCTGAGAGTGATTCCTTTACGGAACGTCATTCACAAGAGCCCCCTGCACTCTGGAAGGAGTTCTGAGGTTGTTGCACATCGGCACAACGGGAACAAGCCTTTGAACTACAAGCTATGTTTTGCATACTGCACGTCTTCCTCCTCCTAGCGGCTATGGCCGCTTGCCCTCTTCAACCCGGGCTCTCCTGCTGACCACCTGTGCTCCACGCACAAGACACTCAAGCAGTGCTTCCGCGTGGTTTGTCTCAGAACGAGTGAATGACTGATCGCTGCCTCTATATTTATACTGTTTTGTTTGGTGGTCTGGGCCTGCCCGATGTCCCCGGCCCTCAAGGTGTGCAGTCCCACTCTGGTACTTGCTGCAAAACGGACTGGACTGGGATTGACTTTTCATGTGCCCCTTCGGGGTTGACTTGGGACCATGCACTGACTGTTTGCTTGTGCTTGGGGAGCTCAAGGCCATGACACCGGACATCTTATCAGGATTCAAGTGTCGATGGCGTGCAGCCGCAGCAACCTTGAAGGTCCCACCTGGATGCCTACCCAAGCCGCGGATTCGTCCTGAGATTGTCAACACTGGCGGTTGCAGGGCCTCGAATTGTTAAGGATCATGGGGTGTGGCATGCTGGGGCCTCCTGCACCAGGCCCGGGAGGCCCTGCGGAAGGGGCCCAGACTCTTGTTTTGAGAACGTCCCTTGTCTGCCTGTGCTCGTTTGGGGCCCTACGACCAGCCGAGAAGCTCTTAGGGCTTAGGGTTTAGGGTTTAAGCCATCATGAGGGCCCTTGGTGAGTGAGTTCTCAGGTAGCCGTGTGGATATTTTGTCTGTTCCGAGTTCATTCGATTTGTGTTATTAAATTATTATTATTTATATGATGATGATCATAGCGAGGTGGCATGATTTCAAGCATGATAGGATGATCTTCTGGAAGCTTGGACGCTGATAGTGGGGTTGTTCTTTCTGCTCTGTTCAGGGATGCTATTGCAGATTTTCGTCTGCGACCACCACGGTTGGAGCTTGTTGGTGATTTCCGGCTTCTTTTGCGAACTGTTGGGACTGCAATTTCATTGCACGTAAACCCTGCTGATGTTTCCGCTATGTTCCCACCGGAGCTTCTATCAATATTTCCTGCACTTTTCATGCAGTACCCTGTGCCAGCTGCGCGCGGCGATGGTTCGTCTCAAGCCCAAGCATATGGGTTGGTGTCCTCGACGGCTCTGGAAGCACGAATGGAGTTTCTTCTGGGAGTGCTTGCAGCTCAGCGAGCCCTTAGCTCAAGAGGAGACAAAAAGGGCTTTAGGGGAGGGAGCCATATGGGTGGAGGTGGCCGATACGTGGGGATCTCCGCATATGCACTTGCTAATGATCTTGGAGTTGACCATGTACTTCTACGGCGGAAGCAGGTAATGATTCTTATAATCATATTCCTTATCTCCAATTACATGTCTTTCCAAAGCTCTCTGCTGCTGTTCTGTTCTTGCGCATCATGTTAGTTTCATTCTGTTTCCTGTTTTGTTATTTACTTGGCCTGTTTCAGGATAAAACGATACGTACCGTCTTTACCCGAATAGAACCCCCAGTCATCACACAGCCATATTTGGTGCAGCTTTCAGTCTCCATACGGTGATAATAACCGGGCGACGCGTTCTATTCGGGTGAAGACGGTAGTACGCAGGCGATTGGTCTTATAGAGGAATCTGAATCTCTGTATCCACTTTCAACTTTCTTTTGCTGTCAATCCTTCACCCACACGTATCAAATTATGTCTCTTTACCATTGGTCGAGATGTTGACGAAGTGCCCAACAAATAAAAAAACACAAAAAAAGAAAGAAAAAAGCGGTTGGACAGGATTGGGTTGGTACACCCATGAATTGTTAAAAAATATGGACCTGAGTTTGAAATTTGAGTCCCTGGGTGAGCAGAACCAAATTGTCAATCTCCCGGGGCCGGTCAGCTCGGTAATAATATCTCAGAGCAGATTAGGTTGCCAATGACAGATCGCTCTCTGAGAACTTTCATATGAAAGTTACACAGGTCAGCACCTGAACGAACTGCTGAGTTGAGGAGGTGGCAGCTGGTCAAGCTGGTCGCATCGCCATCAACGAAGTGCGAAGCAGACTGCAACCTCAAACAACCCATGCGGCAACTTGATTCCAGCTGGAGGCATTGGCAGAACTCTACACATTTGTATTCGTTCATTCATTCACTGAGGATCCTATTCCCAAGATACATCCGACTGACACATTTCTCGTTCATTAGCGATGTGCGACTTTTTTGTTTTTCACAAAATCAAAAGGATCTGATCTATCGACCAGACAGGCTTCATCCCGGGTCGTTACATCCTAGACAACGTACTTACATTGAATGAGGCGGCGAGGAAGATTAGGGAAAGAAAAATAAACACGGCTATACTTTTCTTTGACGTCGAAAAAGCCTACGATCAAGTGAACTGGGACTTCATGGAAGCATGTATGGAGAAAATGGGTGTAGGCCCGAACTTCAGGAAATGGGTTCGCATACTTTACGGAGACGTAGTCGGCTGTGTCCAAGTTAATGGACTGTTATCAGATTGTTACCCGATATCTCGCTCAGTTCGACAAGGAGACCCATTGGCCCCATCGATATTCCTTTTTGTAATGGAGGCCATCGCATCCTTCCTGCGCAAGGACCCTTCCATCCATAGGCTCCCTGTCCTCAACGTAGGTTCGGCCCACCGGATAGATTTCCCGACAGCTATCTTGTTTGCAGATGACCTAACCGTGCTTGTTAGAGCTTCAGATTCATCCTTTAGGACATTGGCTAAGGCGATGGAAGCCTTCACTTTGGCTTCCGAAATGAAGATTAATTGGGGAAAAACAATAGGTTGGTGGCTATCAGATGAGGAACCCCTCCAACTGCAAGGAGAGGAAGAAGCCATGACCTGGGAAACGCCAGAACTTCCGACTCGATACCTGGGTATACTTATGACAAGAGAGGGTCCGGCACCCCAAATGGGTCAAAATATACTAACCAAACAAATCAACAAAATAGGAAAATGGGGTAACATCTTCACATCCCTCATCGATAGAGCCCTGGCCATAAACACATCGGTTTTTCAATGATGTGGTACATAGCCTCTATATGGACAGTTCCGGATAGCTCTATCAAAGAACTGAATCGCAAAGCCAGATCTTATCTTTGGACAAGAGACCCCAACAAAGAAAATGGCATACCCAAGATTGCCTGGCACTATGTCACGAGAAGTCCACAGAAAGGAGGTCTGGGAATTATAGACCCTGGAACAGTGTTACATACTCCAATGAGTATGGGCAGAACCAAGAATCAACCAATATAGGATGAGTTTTTATGCAGTGGAAGTCTTATAACGAAACTGACTCACATAGACTGACTCACATAGACTGACCTACATGGCATCACTCCACACACATACAATCATGAGATGGTGGGGTCTGGGTCATGCATAGAAGATACCCAGATCCCGTACACGTATGCACAGATGAAAGGTGGGAGGAGAGACGAAGGAGGTAGGAGGTAGATCACACCGATAGGTCACAAGATAGGGTCCGGTAGGTCTCCGAAGTAGTAGTCCAAAATGTCATACAACAAGATCAAAATGTCGAGGACCAAAGGTCACCAATGTCGGAGATAACCGAGTCCAGATGTAACCGGTGTCCAACTGTGATGCAGCCGAGTATCAACCTCAACAATCTCCAAGTCTCCAATCAGGTAAGTACCACGCGGACCTGAGCCTTTTGCATATTCGCGCGGGCTTTGATCAACAAGTCCCGATACTTCCTGACAGAAGCGGGAGAGCAAGGGACGTCTATGTCGGCAGCCTGTGGCAAAAGGAGATCAGCGAAGATCCGTGCTCTCTCTCCACCATGATGTAGCTCGAATGGTGTGACGCAGATCGCCGGGTGCACCGAAGTGTTGTAGGCGAACTCGATGTCGGGAAGCCGGTCAACCCAATCTTTCT